AATGGAAACCCTTGTACATTGCTATGGGAATGTAAATTGATAGAGTTGCTGTGGAAAATGGTATGACCCTTCTTCTTCTTCTCCTTCTCCTTCTCTTTCTTCTTCTTCTTCTCTTGAGACCAAGTCTCACTCTGTTGTCCAGGCTGGAGTGCAGTGAAGTAATCACAGTTCACTGCTGTCTCTATCTCCTTGGGAGGCTCCTTCCTCCTCAGCCTCCAAAGTAGCTGGAACCACTGGTACATGCCACCCTCCCCAGCTAATATTTAAAATGTTTTGTAGGCCGGGCGCGGTGGCTCACGCCTGTAATCCCAGCACTTTGGGAGGCCGAGGCGGGTGGATCACGAGGTCAAGAGATCGAGACCATCCTGGTCAACATGGTGAAACCCCATCTCTACTAAAAAGTACAAAAAAAATTAGCTGGGCATGGTGGTGCGCGCCGGTAATCCCAGCTACTCAGGAGGCTGAGGCAGGAGAATTGCCTGAACCCAGGAGGCGGAGGTTGCGGTGAGCTGAGATCGCGCCATTGCACTCCAGCCTGGGTAACAAGAGCGAAACTCCGTCTCAAGAAAAAAAAAAAAAATGTTTTGTAGAAATGGGGTCTTGCTATGTCACCCAGGCTGGTTTCAAACTCCTGAGCTCAAGGGATCTGCCTGCCTTGGCCTCCCAAAGTGATGGGATTACGGGTGTGAACCACTGCACCCAGCTAGTATAATCCTTCCTGGAAAAAATTAAACAATATCATATGACACAACAATTTCACGTCTGTGCATGTACTCAAAAGAACTGAAAGCAGGGACTCCTGCAGGTATTTCTACACTAATCTTCACAGCAGCCAAAAGATAGAAATAACCCACATGTCCATCGATGGATAAATTGATGAACAAAATATGATATATCCGTATAATGGAATATTATTCAGACTTAAAAAGAAGGAAACTTTCGACCATGAACCTTGAAAACATTATGCTAAGTAAGACAGACCCAAAAAGACAAGTACTGTATGATTCTGCTTATATGAGGCCTCCAGAGCAGCCAAATTCACAGGAAGAAGAATGATGGTTCCCTTGAGGGCATGGGAAATAGGAGTTCTTGTTTAATGGGCATGGAGTTTAAATCTGGGAAGATAAAAATGTTCTGGAGATGGATGTGGTGGCGGCGACACAGCGGTGTGAGTATGTTACCGCTGCTGACCGTACACCTAAAATGGCTGCAATGGTACATTTTATGTTACATTTATTTTATCAAAATAAAAAAAAAAATTTAAGGAGCTTCCAAAAATCTCAGTAATCAAGACAGATAATATTTTTGTTTGATTTTTATTTCTTTTTTGTAGAGACAGAGCCTCATTCTGTTGCCCAGGCTGGGGTGCAGTATTGCAATCATGGCTCACTGCAGCCTTGAACTCCTGGGGACAAGCAATCCTCCCACTTCAGCCTCCTGAGTAGCTAGGACTACAGGCACAAGCCACCGCCTGCCCTTGGCTAATTTCTAAAAACTTTTTGTAGAGATGGGGTCTTGCTATGTTGCCTCTATGTTGGTCTTGAATTCCTGGCTGCAAGTGATTTTCCTGCCTTGGCCTCCCAAACTGTTGGGATTAAGGGCATGAGCCACCTTGTCTAGCCAATATAAATACTATTTTAATGCCATATATATATGTAAATGCCATATATATATAATTATATATATATGTCTAGCCAATATAAATACTATTTTAATGCCATATATGTAATTATATATTATATATATGGCATTTAAAGTCATTTGCATATATATGTATATATATATATTCCATGATGACAAAATAGCTAAATTTTAAATAAAGAAGATCTGTATTTCTGAACTTTCCTTTTGCCCCAGGCTGTAACATGGCTTAGCCTACCACTGACTGCAGTTACCTCTCTTTGGGAATGTGTGTGCTGGTCATGGCACAGGTCTGACTTCTCAATCGTGTGGCTGTATGGCCAGCCTGCAAGGCAGGAATTATTACAGATAAGTAAACTGAGGCCCCTGGAGATTAAGTCATTTGCCCAGGGTCAAACCACTGCCCTTGGCCTCTGCAAAGCTGCCTCCCAGCTGTACACACAGCCAGGGAAAAGACGGCCCCAGGCTCAAGACTAGAGATTTGGTTGGTCTCTTCCTGCGAAAAATGCCCGAGCGGATCAGAGGCTGAGGTGGAGATTTCAATCATGTAACTGCTGTCTCGTGAGTCTGTAATAGCCGGTGAATGCATGGGATTTTCTCCTGTGGTTTTTGCTTAACCTCTTTTTTAATTTCATTGTTCCTTTAACGACGTGATTCTTTTGGCTCTCTAATCTGTCCTAATAAACGCTGTAATTACAAGTTTCCCTGACCATGCTGTGCAGCAGGCGAGCTCCCTCCCCAGCTCCTGGGAAACTGAACTGGAGAGGGATCTTGGCAGGGAGCTGCTGCCAGACGCCTCAGTCGCCAACTGCCTCTAAGTCAAGTTCAGCTCTTTCAAGCCGGGACCTTGTCTGTCTTGTTCACAGTAGTATCCCCAAAATCTGCCTGGTGCCTGGCACATAGAAGGCACTTAATAAATCTCTGTTGAATGAATAAATGAAAAAAATAAAAGTCTAACTAGCACGGGATCCTTGAAAAAGTACATGCAACCTATGTAGCATCTTTTCTTGAACCTTGTGCCTCACGTGGTGGTTGGAGTTCACTGAGAATATTTGTAGAATGAAATAAAAAAGCAGATAGGGCCGGATGCTGTGGCTCATGCCTGTAATCCCAGCACTTTGGGAGGCCGAGGCAGGTGGATCACGAGGTCAGGAGTTCAAGACCATCCTGGCCACCATGGTGAAACCCCATCTCTACTAAAAATACAAAAATTAGCTGAGCATGGTGGCATGCACCTTTAATCACAGCTACTCAGGAGGCTGAGTCAGGAGAATCTCTTGAACCCGGGAGGTGGAGGCTGCAGTGAGCCGAGATCATTCCACTGCACTCCAGCCTGGGTGACAGAGAGAGACTCCATCTCAAAAAAAAGAAAAAAAAAAAGCATACAGGTGTTGTGATGCATTGTTTAATGTGCTTATACATACACACACATTGTGTGTGTGTGTGTGTATGTGTGTGTGTGTGTACCTCTTCATTAGAGGAGAACACAGCAGAATACACATTATTTTACCCAAAAGAGGATAAAAATATACATTTGTCATCAAATCCTTGGAAATAAGGTGTATTTGCATTTGACGTGTCCACTAAGATTCACTGGGCCCTCAGACATCCTGTTCCTGGGACAAATGAGCTTGTCCAGAGCTCGTGAGTTGGTTCATGGTTTGAAGCCTTCGACTTTGTGTTCAGGCTACTCCTTGCAGAGCTGTTTCTGTGTTTAGGCAGAGTGCGTTCTCCATGGCTGCTGCCCCAGCGTGACCTCCAGTCTGTGGTCCTCTGTACTCCTCTGAAAAATAAAGTGCTCCGGGGCTAAAGATCATGGTAGAGAGGGGCATTGGAGAGGATGACTGGGAAGAGCCCATCTGTGTGGGCTGTGAAGCTGTTCTGCTGCCTGGTCCTGCCCTCCCTCCTGAGTCCCTGGCTCCAGAGCACAAACTCTCCTGCTCCCCTAGACCAAGCTGTGTGCGCCCTTGTGTCTTTGCCTGTGCCTGGTTCTGGTCAGAAATGCCCCTGTCCCTTCATTTTTCCTTGACTCCTGCCCCGTAATTATCTAAAGAGCCTCATTATTTTGAATCTCACCCCAGCATAGGCATCACCTGGAAGCAAAGCAGGGCTCAGGCCCCTGCCTGATGAATCAGAATCTGCTTAATAACAAGCTCTCCAGGTGATTCATCTGCCCCTTCAAGTTTGAAAAGCATCGGAGATCGCTCCTTCTCATTGTTTACTGTTCAGCTCAGGGACCACCTCCTCCAGAGAGCCTGCCCTGATCTTCCCACCCATGACAGCCTGCTGCTGGGACAATTAAAGAGGCAGGCACAGCCCCAGTATGTACACCCACCAAATTCATGAGCACTTAGAGTGCATGAGTCTTTCTCATTTAATGGTGTGCACTCTGGTGGAATAAATTTAAAATTCCTCTTGGAATCTCCACATGTGGGGCATCGTATAGCCTCCGTGCAGGCTGTAAATGCATCATACCCGAGAATCCCCACGCTTCTCAGTCCTTGTTGTGGGAGTAGTGCAGGAACCACACGAAAGTTCAGGAGAGACATGTGGCACACCACACTATTCCAGGGAAAAGCTGGCTTCTCCTGGTGTCATAAATACATGTACAGCCTTTCTGACTTTTTGTCAGGGGTCTCCTGCAGAGACTTTACTAAGGCTTTCTTAAAGAAGTGACAGACATCATAGGGTTGTTTGAAAACAGCCAAGGGCATCTTTCATTCCTCCTCCCTGACCCCCACCACCATCCAAACACAGCCCCGTCTGTCTTTGCTTCATCTTGTGATGGCCACCCCAACATCAAACCCTTGGGAGGCCCCTCGCTGAAATCCTGCCTCTCTCCTCAACTCTTATTCCATTCTCTCCACAACCAAAAAGGTCAAGGTGTCATACACATTCCTCCATGTCCCCTTCCCTGCAACCCCCTCTCTCCAGGGGTAAGACCCTTCCTGGGTGATCACACTGCCCTGGAGGTCACATCTGTGTACGGGGCCCAGCACACTCCCCATAACCCACCTTGGCCTTGTTTCCTCTGGACCCAGAAGCAGAGTTCTCATGGTCTTATCCTACCTGTACCTTCTACCTACAATATTCTGTCCCTGACCCTCCCAGGGCTCTCCTTCTTACCTTTAGATTTCAGGTTAAATGTCCCCTCTTGGGTGCTCTCCCATTGCCCCTGTTCTCCCATCACTGGATTGGAAATGTCTACAGAGAACATATTCCCATTGCTTGTATTTTATTACCTGATCTAGCCCATCACTAGAATGTAAGTTCCAGAGGTATCACTGGGTCTCATCGGGTTGGTATTTTTCATCTCTGTATCCCAAGCCCCTAGAACAGTGCAGAAGACGTGATAGAAGCTCCGTGGATATTTATTAAATAGATGGATGTGAATATATGCAATGAAACACACACTTTCATACAAATAAACCCCGGGGTGCTGACCATTCTCCAAATTTGTTTTCTGCCTGCTCTGTGCCCTGGAGGGCAACTCCTCTGGCCTGCACAGCCCAGGCCCTCTTGCAGGCAGCTGATCATGCACCTACAGTCAATGAGAGTATGGGAGCAGAAAGTGGGGGCAGCTTTCCCTGGTCCCTTGGCAGGGCCTCACTGGGCTCAGATGATATCACTTCGTCTCCCCTACCCTTGAAACCTGGGGTTGGGAAACCTTGGCATCTGGGAGGCTTCCCATCACTTGTCGGAGCCCTCATCCCTGCTCACAGCTCAGGAAACTTCCTTTGCCAAACTCTTCACCCGCACCACGTAGGATGAACTGTTCCTTGTGGGGGCAATGCTCCTCCTGTGTGCATACAATTTAGATATCTTTTCTGTACGTACAGAATGTATGTGCATAACTTAAAAAATTATTTACTTGATTCTTAAGTGTGTGTGGGGTGGTTCTTCTTTTCCTGCTTTCCTCCTTTGCTCTGCTTCCAAGTTCCTCTCATCACTGTGGTCTCTAGGGAAATCTCTCAACTGCATGGTGTCCGGCAGATTTTCAGCCATAGATTTTAATTGGCTCATGAGATCTTTCACTGCCTGCTTTATTTGTGCATTCAAAAGTTCCAGCCTTTCTTTCTCCTCCTTCCTTTCCTGTACTCTCTGCTTCCATCTTGCAATTTTTTGGTGGAGCACTTCTGGACTTTCTGCAAAAAACAAAAAAAACCCACAAAAAAACATGCAAACCACCTGTTATTTTCTTCTGAAGTTTTTCTCCATTCTCCTTTGATCCTTTTAAGATGTGTCCTGAGTCAGTCACCTGGAACATTTAGGAGACTCACTTTTCCATGCTTTTTCCGGAAAGCGTCCTGTGTCCTGCAGACACCTGCTCAGATTTTTATTAAGGGCTATTAAGCAGAGGGATGATAACATTCAAGGTCAGGCTTCCATGAGGGGTGACTTGAGGGCTTCCTCAGCCTGTCTATTCCCGTGGGTGTCCCACCTTTGCCATGGACCTGCTGGTGAGAACAACACTTTTGTGAAGCTCTTTTCCTTTTCATAAATTGTCATCTCTTGGTGATTAAGACCACTGCAGCAGCACAAACCAGGACCTCTGAGGGATGCCCAGGGACCTCCAGGGCTTATCTCATGCTCTCAGCCATCACCAGCACAGCAGGCCCCAGCAGCTCCAGTGTGGCTCGAGAGACATTTTGGAGACCAGCAGCCCCTCTGTGACTCTACTTCTGCTTTCCAATGGCCTCTGGGTCACAACTGACCACTCGGAACCCTGCGGAGTGTTCCGTATCTAATGCTCGCAAGTGCCTGGCAACCAGGATAGACAATCAATTGGGCTGGGGGAGGGGAGTCAGACAGGCTCTAGAAACAGTGTCCCTGACGCTGGTGTGCTCACTGCACAGGTAGAGGTGATAGTCCCCACCCAGGTCATGAGGGAACTGGAAATGGCTGATGGCACCCTGGAGCCCAGCTGGCGCCACAGCAAACCCAGGGGGTCCAAGCGAGGCCATGCCCTGTCCCTTTCTGTCCACAAGGGCCTGTCAGGGCACAGTGCTGGGGGCCGTCCCTGGGTGAGGCTCAGTCTCCTGATTTCAGGTTTCTTCTGTACAGGGAAGCTGGGTCCTGCCCACCAAGGTCCCGGGGACCCTCCTGTGAGGCACCCGCTCTCCTTTGTATTTGCTCGGTGTCAGCAATGGGGAGACGACTGAAGGGACTCCCCAGAAGTATAAACTGAGAGACCTGGATTTTCAGCGTAACAATCCAGAAGAAATAAGTAGAACGGATGGAGTCTGAAATTTCACGGATTTTCGGTGAAGCCGGGTTGTCCCTGTTCAGCAAGTGTCCTGAGAAAGGGTGACTCTACTTTGGGTATGACAGTTTGACCCCAGCTCCCTCCCTCATGTGGCTCTGCTGTTTTTAACACACGCCTCCCACGGTGGCCCTGGGGACAGTCTCCAATCCACTGAGCCATCTTCAGAAGTGGATGTCTGCCACATAGGGTGGGCCCTTCTTTTGGCTCATACTTGTTACCTTTTGTTTATTAAGCCCCTTCCGTCTCCTAGAATCCCTCTGGCAGACCCAGACTCAGAGCCTCCTTGTTCATCCTCTGGGACTTTGCCATGAGTGACTCACTCACAGTCCCTTTACCCTGAATGAAATTAGAGAACTCTCAGCCAATGTCAGCCCTGGGGTCTTAAGGGATTGCATAGCTCAGGCAGCAGGGGCCCCATGGATGTAGAGGACCAAGGCTCTAACTGGCCAGGTGGTGAGGGCTGGGGTGGAGGTCAGCCAGTGCCTAGGCTGATAGTTATGGTAGTTTCCTTCCTTCCTTCCTTTTCTCTCTATCTTGCTCTCTTTTTTTTGAGACAGAGCCTTGCCAGAATGGCGTGGTGTTATCATGGCTCACTGCAGCCTCAAACCTCTGGGTTCCAGCAGTCCTCCTACCTCAGCCTCCCCAGTAGCTGAACCACAGGCATGCACCACCATGCCCAGCTATTTGTTTTTTTTTGTAGAAATGGGATCTCACCATGTTGCCAAGGCTGGTCTGAAACTCCTGGCCTCAAGCAATCCTCCTGCCTTGGCCTCCCAAAGTGCTGGGGTTACAGGCATGTGCCACAGCACGTGGCCTCTTTTAAAAAAACAAACAACAAACTGGACTTTATTTTTTAGAGCCCTGGTAGGTTTAAAGAAAAATTGTACGGAGGTATTACATACACCCTTGACTCCTCCCACAGTGTCAACTCCTCCCACAGTGTTGACTCCTCCTCCCACAGTGTCGACTCCCCCCACAGTGTTGACTCCTCCCACAGTGTTGACTCCTCCTCCCACAGTGTCAACTCCTCCCACAGTGTCGACTCCCCCCAGTGTTGACTCCTCCCACAGTGTTGACTCCTCCTCCCACAGTGTCAACTCCTCCCACAGTGTCGACTCCCCCCACAGTGTTGACTCCTCCCACAGTGTTGACTCCTCCTCCCACAGTGTCAACTCCTCCCACAGTGTCGACTCCCTCCACAGTGTCGACTCCTCCCAGTGTTGACTCCTCCCACAGGGTTGACTCCTCCTCCCACAGTGTCGACTCCCCCCACAGTGTTGACTCCTCCCACAGTGTTGACTCCTCCTCCCACAGTGTCCCTACCATTATTAGCATTTCACATTGTTGTGGAACATTTCCTAAAATGGATGAAAATACTGGTTTGTTATTATACTTGAAAGTCCATAGTTTACACGAGGGTTCACTCCATGTGTTGTTCAGTTCTAAGAGTTTTGACAAATGCAAATGGCGTGGTGTTATCATAGCTCACTGTGTGCACATCGCAGTAAAGTACAAGGAGTTCCACCGCCCTCAAATTCCTCCTGGGATTTTATCTACTCATCGCTGCCTTCTTGCCCCTTTGCCCTGATACTTTTTCTGTATTCCGTATTGTCTGATATAAATACAGCTACTCCAGCCTTCATTTTGTAAGCGTTAAATTTATAAACATGGTGTATCTTTCTCTGTCTCTTTACTTTTATTTTAATTGTGTCTTCATAGTTAAAGTGGGTTTCATGTAAACAACATAGAATTCGGTTTTGTTTTTTTGATCCACTCAGCTCCTGTCTTGTGATTCACATATTTAGAACATTAACATATAAACTAGTAATTGACATATTTGATATAATATCAACCACATTTATTACTGTTTCTATTTGTTTCTCTTGTTCTGTTTCATTTTTCTCTTACACTTTTTTCTCCTTTCTCTGATTTTCCTTGAGAATTTTATATGAGTCCATTTTATTTCCTCTCATTATATCAGTTATACTTCCTTACAAAAATTTTTTTACTAGTTGCCTATGATTTTGCAATATGCATTTAAAATTGATCCAAGTCCACTTTCAAATAACACAATACCACTTCATGGGTAGTGAGAATATTTTATCATTTCACTAATCCATAAACTATAATTACCCAATATGTGTTTACTATTATTATCTTGAAGAAAATGATAAACTGTTAGATTAGCTTAAAATATGAAAAGGAAAATACTCATTTTAGCCTTCATTTCCTTCTTGAATGCTCTCTTGATTCCTTTTTGTAGACCTGAGTTTTTCCACCTGTGTCATTTTCCCTTCTCTTCCAATGAAGTGCTGCTGGCAGCAAACTCCCTCGAGTTTTGTTTCTCTGAAAAATTATTTGCCATTCACTTTTAAAGAATAATTTCAATGGATACAGAATTCTATCTATAGCTAGTGGTGTTTTCTTTCTCTTAGTCCTTTACAGATTTCTCTCCACACTCTTTTTATTTGCATGGTTTTTGAGAAGTCTGATGTAATCCTACATCAGATTGTATCATATGTAAGGTATGGTTTTTTTTTCATCTTCCATATGTAAGGTAGGTTTTTATTTTCCCCTACTCTGAATTCTTTCATTATTTTCTCTGCATTTTTGATTTTTTGCAATTTGAATATAATATGCCTAGGTATACATTTTAAAATATCCATCCTGCCTGGTGTCCTCTTCAGTTTTCTGAATCTGTGGTTTGGTGTCTCATTAATTTTGAAAAAGTCTCAGTCATTATTTAAACATTTTTCTGTTCCTTTCTCTTTTTCTTGTTTTTTGGTACTCCCATTGCATGTATGTTGCACCTTTTGTAATTGTCTTGCTGTTTTTAAACATTGTGCTTTATTTTTATTGTCTTTCTTCTCTTTGTCTTTTAGTGTGAGAGGTTTCCATTCACATATCTTCAAGCTCAGTGACATACAACTTGTATTCCAGTTACTATACAGGAGCACTGCTGATGTGTTGGGCAGGAACGGGGGAGGGGAGCATTCTATGTATAGCCCAATGATTAGGTTTCAGGTCTTTAGTGAGCCTGTGTCCCTGGGCTGTGAACTTCGCATGGGAGTCTCAGTTATTAACCCATCTCATGTTAGGTAGGATGGTAAAGCTAGCTGAGATGAAAGTGGGATGTTTTCTTTTCCCTGGGTGTTAGGATGAGGGAAGCTGAAGTATGGTATTTTCCTCCACAAAGATGAGGCCATGGTTCTCCACCTGTCCACTAAGGTAACGGAAGTAGTGGAGCTTGGTAGATGGCGAGCAGGGTGATGCACAGACGTGAATTCCCCTGCCCAAGACGGAATCAGAGATCCAGCATGGGATCCCACCTCCACCACTTCCCGGCTTTGTGATCCTGAACAAATTAGTTACTGTCACTGCAGTTTCATTTCCTCATCTTAAAAGAAGGTAGTAGCAGTCATCCCATAGCACACTTGTGAGAGTTAAACCAAATGATGCAAGGGAAATGCCTGCAACACTGCTTGGCAGATAACAGAGTCTCGACAGATGGTAGAGGTCATTCTAAAGAGAATGTCATTGGACCTAACCGGGGTGACGAAGGCAGTTAAGAGTAGGCCAGAGGTGTGGTAGGGCTTGGGAAAAGCAGGTCAGGCAGCTGGTGGGATTTGCAGAGCTGAGGAGAGCCTTCTGGTGCATTTAGTTGCTGACAGAGTCTGGCCCGAGCCCAGACCACAGGCACAGTCCCAGGAGACATGCTCATGAGCTGTCATCTCGGTCCAGCCGCTGACTCACCCCACAGGCAGGCACCCAGGGAGCAGGTGCTGCAGCTGTTGTGTCATCAGACCTCCAGGGCTGTAAGAGCTGATCATCTTCTGGCTGATGGAGTAGCTTGCCCACAGGTGGGGATGGGAGGGGTGAAGGCTCAGCCTCTTTTTCTTGTGTGTCTAGGATGAGAGGGGCAGTATCCTCACCTTGGTCTAGACCTTGTTGTTTAAAAGGTAAGCTGACGAGCAGCAGGCTCAACATCACCTGGGCACATGTTACAGGTGCAAACCTCTGGTCCAGTCCCAAACTTGCTGAGCATTTGGCAAGCTCTCCAGGTGATTGCTTTGTATGTAAACGTCTAAGAAGCACTAGCTAGCATCTTTCTGGTTCACATTCACACGGAAGCTTGAGAAGTGTTGGCCTGAGAGTCTTTGTGGATTCCAAAGAGAAGTCAGAACACTAATAACCAGCATGAATTCTGATTGTAATATCAGCAGCTGAAGGATCAAGGTATTTGGAACCCAGGAATCACAATGAGAGTTTTTCAGGCCACAAATGGATTGTAAAAACAATGGAGGTCTCGCCGATAAGGTGACATTTTAGCTGAGCACGGAAGTGAGTGAAGACATGAACCGTAGCGTATCTGGGGGTCGAGCAGCAAGTGCAAAGGCCCTGGGGCTGGAGCACACTCAGTGTGTGTGAG